GTCACGCCCACACACACTTTCAACCTAAATACATCAGTTTGATGAGAACGACAGAAAATGACAGAAAAAACTTTGACAAACATTTAACGTCTACTTTGAATTTTTATTTTGGACCATGTCCCACTTGCTAACACGGAGGAGGTTTATGACCTGTGCTGCAGGCAGCCACCAGGGGGAGATCCAGATGGTTTGGCTTCACTTTTGGTAGCCATCATGTCGCCCATCTTTATTTACAGCCTGTGGTTCCAGGTCACGTTGTCTGGTTCCGTGTAATCATGGCGTCGTCTTGACGTCTGTGTGAACGAGACAAATAAAACATGTGACCCGTGTTACACAGCTGATGGTCAATAATCGTTTAGCTGTGACTCTGACGTCCGCTCCGTCTTCACAGATCTGGACTCACATCTTTAAAGAGTGAGCAGTGAACTTCTCTGGTTCCAAAGAGGTCGCCACCGTGACCTCTGTAAAATAAAAGCAGACGAGCAGAACCGCCCCCCCCACAACCCCTGTCCCCGGAGGTTTAACGGGTGTTCAGCCTCCCCCCTCCCCCTGTGGAGCTGCAGTACAGCGGGTGAGGCGGAGGAGGCTGCAGTAATTAGCATGCTGATTCTGCATGTAATCAGATCACCCTGGCATGCTCGCCGGCCGCTCCTATACATCAGGCCGAGCGTCGGCATGGGACTGCAGCAGCGTCTGATTGTTCTTCAACGCAGCATATGCTAATTGTTGATTGTCTCCAATATTATATGCTAATTGTTAGGAATTAGCATAATTCATTAACATTTGGGCCCTAATTACACAACGAGAAAAGAGTGAAAAACACTCGGCTGTGCTCTGACTTCTTAATGTGCGGCGCGACTAACGTGCTCATTTGCATCCGGAGAAGGAGCCTGAAATATTAAAAGTGTTGTTCAGAGAAAATCGTGATTAGTCCCTAATCAAATGTTGTTTCTGCCATTTTAAAAGGTGTTACAGTGTCGGCCCCAGGTGAGAGGAAGCAGACTGACACTCGCAGACACACCGAGGCTTCACAGACACGCAAATGTGCCGCAGATCAAAATCTGCAATTAGCTGGAGTGTTTCTTTTTGGACGAGATTTAGAGAAACAAATGAACGGAGATGGTCGTCGGCGTTTCATTCGTCGTTGCAGATTCTCTTTGATGTCGGTGGTTTATCTCGTATTAATGAGACACTCCAAACAAAAAGAGACAAACCAAATTGCTTTGATTTCATCATAATTGTAGTCGTGGGTCTGCTCGCATCGTTTAGCTGCCAGCGGCGGCGGAGCTGTGCAACCTGCAGCAATCTGAAAATACAACAAGTGAAAATCACTGAAAGACAAGAAGACAACATGTCAAGAATTAAAAGTTCCCCCAGAGGATATGAAGTGTTGACAGGAGCAAAGAATAAAAAACCAGGACAAAAAGAGAGAGAAGGAGGGAAAGAAAGAAAATGCTGTAAAGACAAAACAGTCAAAGGAGAAAAACACAAACTTCTGTCGTCTCTCATCAGTCATGTGACGACCACGCACATTCATCAGGTGACCCTCAGGAAGACCCCGCCCCCTATGATGAGAGTCAGGGGACTGAACTTTGAGTTTATATAAAACAATATGATGAAGTATTATTACATAAGAGTTTTATTTTACATCGATTGAACAACATTTGAATAATAATGTAAGAATAACGTCTCATCGATGTCAACAAGTCGTCCTCTGTCCTCAACAAGAGTCAAACTACAGAGACACTTTCTGAGCAGTAACTGAAGCTCAGAGTCTCATGTGAGGATCCGTCTCCAGGACACGAGGACAATAGATGCTGATGAACTGAAGACATCAACAGATTCACTACATTAGAAGAAACAGTTTGTGACTTCATGTTTGAAGTATTTGTACATGAGGACATGTCTGATAGAGATGAAGGAGGAGTTACTGATGAAGATGAGGAGACGTGTAACAAG